TTGTATTCTGTTTAGGATTTCTTTGTCAAGGAGTAGGATTGGATCTCTAACCTGATCCTGAACCAGAATAAACTAAGGGCCATGTGGGTGAGATCTAGGATGGGTCTAACTGTTGTTTATAAGACATCTCCATGCAGAAACTATGAGGAAGCTCGCAAAGAATATGGGACTTAGGAATGCCTCAGAGAATGGCAAGAGGCCACCTGAACAAGACTTTAACTTAGGAGACATTAGATGAAGAAAAATTAAGAAGCAGGGGGAGTTAAGACTACAGTGTCTCATTGTGGGGCTAGTCAAGATTATGCTCAAATTGCCATGATGGAGAAAGATTCTTGTGAGCGAGAGTCACCACATGCCTGTACCTCCCCAGAGCAGGATGTCTTCAGCTTCAACTCCCAGTCCCACTCCCCTGGTATGATGGTTTGAGTAAGAATATATTTGAATGATATATTTGAATGCTTAGTCATCAGGGAGAGGCACTATTTGAAAAGATTAGAAGGATAAGGAGAAATGGCCTTGTTGAAGGAAGTGTGTCACTGGGGATGGACTTTGAGGTTTCAAAAACCCATACTAAACCAGTCTCTCTCTCCTTCTCCCTCTCCCTCTCCCATTCCTTCTCCATTTCCCTCTCCTTCCCCCTCTTTCTCTCCCCCTCCCTCTCCATGTCTCCACCATGATAATGGATTGACCTCTGAAACTCCATTCAAGCCTCACAGTTAGATTCTCTCTTTTATAAGAGTGGTCTTCGTCATGCTGTCTCTTCGCAGCAATAGAACAATGACTAAGACACCTGTGTATATAAAATAGGTACACTACCAAACATTTACCCATAATAAATCATGAAGAAGTTTACTTTAAAATAATTTCTTACACATAATATAATTTTATCATTTTAAAATTAAATAAAATTTGCATACTAATGAGATTGATGTGTTCTATTATTATTATGTATAGAACTAAACTTTTCTGAAATATTTGCTATGGTGTGGAATTAGAGAGCATTCAGTGTTTTGGGGGAACTGAATGATACTCTGATTTAATAATTATCAATGCTGGGGACATTCCTTGCATAAATACATAGACCAAAATGGCAGAAGCGTGTTTAAAGTCATTTCAGAAATTATGGGAACTTCTGTCCTACTTACAAGCCAAAATTCATTGAATTTTTTATATCCATATAAAACTCGAGTTAGCAAGTCAAACATCAGTTTCTAAGATCAAATGTTCTAACAAAACACATCCAAAGATAAACTATCCGATACTTACACACTGAGGAATGATTATAGGAAAGTGTAGAAAGTTTTACATTCATAATTAAATTGTTATGTTTCTATAAAGGCAGGAAGCCTTCTGTGTATAGTCATTCTCGGTACTTCATGACACACAGTGGTCCCATAGAGTTCTAGGGTGGTCCAGGCAGTATGCACCGGCTTTGCATCATGAGCTTGATATGTGGTGAGAACCAACGCAAAGCCCTGTGACACAAATCTGAATGAACACTGCCACAACACTTTGGAATCCATTACATGCTTGATGTGGAATTAAGTTTTAATCATTTTATATTCAGAAACCTTTTACTGTTGCCAGAGTTTTGGTGACTCCCACAGCTATGTGACCCCATGTAGAGTCACAGCCACTGTTTAAAAAGCAGGGAACAACAGTCTTTCCTTATAGGCTTTCTCTTCATGGTCTTCAATGGCCTTTAGCTGGATTTCCTCTGACCCTCTTTTATGACACAGAACATCAAGCTTGTAACTGGTTCTCTAAACTCTCATGATGTAACACATCCCAACAGGAAAGGAAGAAATTTCCTCCTCTGGGAACCTGCCTAAGGATTGGCACTACCTAAAATCCCAGAGTTCTGGAGGGAGAGGAATAGAGTTCAAGGCCAGTTTTAAGACAGTACTTGTCTTAAGAGAACATGGTCTAGGATAGAACTCAGTTGTATACTGCTTGCTTAGCATCCACAAGACCTCATGTTCAGTATCTAGTACTAGAAAAGTAGAAAAACCAGAATATTGAAGAAGATGAGTGAATTAACTGCCCACTAAGTAGTAGCAGTCACTAAATACATCTGTTCCAGAAACTGCTTTCCTGACACAGGAAATTGTTCTGTCCTTTTCCCTCACAATGAAGGTTGAGTGTGTCAACTGTGTCAGTTGTGTTACTCTACATGTTGATGTATTTGTTAATCCTAAGTGTCTTATCTTTACTGTATAATGACTACATACTTTCACAGTCAGGTGGTAATGACATTCAGCCTGTCCTCAGGTGGTGGCAATAAACTTGCCACAAACTGAGTGTCTTCGGTTTTAGTACAGAATGTGAGATGAAGATGAATCTTATGGCCATGGGTCCTTGGCATTGGGTCCTCGAAGAGCCTCTGATTATCTGGTTTTGGTGTGGGTAGATCTGTGGTAGTCCACTCAGCCCACATAGTCAAACCAATGTGCAGCTAGAGACCAGTAAGAGGAGATTGTTCTAGATTCAGTAGTGGGGGTTTTAGAAAGAGAATAGAGACACGGAATGCTGCCCAAGTCTTGCTTATAAGTCACCACCTGCTACTAGGACAATGCTCTGGGGAGACTTACAGGAGGCTACAGGGTTTTCAGCTACAATGCTGTGATATTTGTTAACAAATGGGGCAGACGGTGAAAGCGTACCAGTCATGAAGTCTGTGCTAGCTGGGACATAAGTGGGAAGGGCAGCTGCCCAGCATTCTGCCATTATTAAAATTAACATGGAAAGAAGGGACAAGGGCACATATCTGTTCTAGTTGGAAGGAGAACTTTATGTGTTAAGCCACTGCCTCTGTCGTAAGTAGAACATAAGGCGATGTCACCTTGTATCCTGTCAGGTTTTCTGAGTTTTAACTTCATCATTTCTCAGCAGCTACTGCCTTTCTTCCTTCACTGCAATTTATTTTTCTTTACCCACACATCCCAGTGTGGCTCTGGACTTCCCTAAGCTCTGTGCATTTGTATGCACAGGCATGCTCATGGGTGACTGCAAGTCCACTGTCATGCCTGAATTCAACCTTCTGTGACCGAAAATCATGGCATTTGACACTCAGACCTTTCACCTGCAACACAAGAATGAGAACAGCTCTGCCTGCACAATGGGTGACTCAGTTCAAAGTATGATCAGTGAGAAAGGCCTTGCAAAGCAAAAGCACAATTCCCTTGTAGGAATTCTTCTGTTGTTAAAAGCCTTGCTGAAGATGAATGAGTTGCCAGATAGAAGCTGTGCTCCTCTGACCTCAGAACCACACGGAGACCCTGCTTCCCTCCTGGCTGTGCCCTTGTAGTTCACCAGTTTGTCTCTAATGATGCCAGGCCAGGAACTGAATTTTCCAGGAAGTGATTTTTTTTTTTTTTTACTACAGTGTGACCAAAGGCCTGTCCACATGACATGAGCAAGAGCTAAAGATAGGTCTATGATGTAAAATGCACTTATGCTTTTGTCTCTTCCTTGGGAATGAATTAATATGAACAGAGGTATTCAGAAATTCTGACATCATAGAAGGTTTTTCAAAAAACATTTTAAAATGAAATGTGGTCAAACTACATTCTAAACTCTTGTGTTTCTATCCATAGATTCATGCTTGCTTTATCTGTCATCAGAGAAGTGTCTTATTAGAGCATACAGCAGTAAATGCACACATGTAACTAGTCAGTGTGGAAAGTAAAGAACAGTGGAGTGCTTAGCCCAAAGTGGGTCATGCACAATGTTCTCTCTGAGGCTTGAGGTCTACTGAAGAAGGAGGAGGAGGGGAGGAGGAGGCAGGAGGAGGAGAGGAGGAGGAGAAGAAGGGAAATACTGGAAGGGCCAGAGTATGGTGCGGTGTGTTGTATAAAGACTTCACTTGGAATGGTTTGACCTTGTGTTCAGTCAACTCTCTTCAGATATAGGGACCTGCACAAGAGTAAACCTGTCAATATTTTATCATGGAAGAGGAAATGGCTCACAAAGCCCAACTCTTCCTGAGGGATTATTGACACTTAATGGTACTTAAGGAAGAGCATCACTTTCTTCAGTTGTGTAGCCACTGATTGGCTGGATATAATCCAGTAAACTACCTTTCACCCACGCTAATGTGAGCAACCCCAAACGCTGTAGAACACACACATGCCATGAAAATAGGAGGAGACTTTCTGGGGGGAAGGGGGAGATGACACGAGGGAAGACTGGTGGTAACAGGAGGTGATGGAGGTGATGATGACTAAAATTCATTGCATACATGATGACACTGTCAAGTAATTTAAAAATAAAATCAAAATATAAAGCAACCCAGTGAAAAAGGAAATTTCAAATATAGTTTTAGATTAAATAGAATAAAGTTCCCAGTTTAAATTGCTTGACAAGTAGTAGCCAATCTTAATGGAAGAGAGGTATTTATAAAATAATCACATTTTTAATAGAAGAATCTTAGATCCCACAAAGTCTCACATTTTCATTTAATGAACATGGAATCCATGAGACCTGCAGTTGTTATTTTAATAGTGTTATTATCAAATCCTAGGGAGACAGTCTGAGACATTTTCTGTCTCAGAAATATTTGTGCTGTTTGGTTTAGGATTTAGTCATTTGTTCATCTCTAGGATAAATATATCATTAGGGAAGAGATAGAAATATAATTTTGATACCAAAATACCAGAGAGAAAATAGGTTTAGAAGTAAAATATTGTATATTATGAATAATTAAGCAATCTTGTTTTCATAATTACATCCCTGTGAATGTCTGTATAGACCCAGAGAATTTCCTGCTACAATCTGAGTGTTTGGTGGTAGCAGGGGCCCTGGTTTCAGCCCATAACTGGCTGCTGGGGACATGGCTGCACTTTCTGAGTCCTAGTCTTATAAAATCAAATGAGAAAATCAACTTATTTCTGAAAGCCTCTCCTATGTCTCCCTTGAGCAATATCTATTAGTACGGATGTTTTTTTCAAGCACACACACACATCTACCTAGCACAGCTGCTATGGGTTTTCTTGCCTTACCAGAATGGTTGGTGGCTTTCTGGAAGTTTTCATTTACAGAGACACTATAAAAGAGGCAAAAGCATTGTAAGCCCAACACTGTATGTATTACCAATAATAAAGTATTACCAAGTTGCTGTTGTAATTAAACTGAACAGAAAAATCAGACTTAGATTTTATTGAGAGGAGTTTTAAAAGTGAATACACAGTTGGCAACAGATAGTATCCATTCTATATTTTGCCATTTTAAATTGACATAAAGCTTTTGGAGTAGTATAGTAACCCTTCAAGTACCCAGTTAATATGAAAACCCATACTTCAAGTACCCATGGCTGGGAGCCCATCCCAGGGTGGGTTATAGCCCACATTACTTTCATAGAGCTTTGCAAGAGAAATGTATAAGGCACACACACATGCTAAAATAAAATAAAATACACCACTTACAAGAAGCCAGAGTCCAGCCACTGCTGGATACTTTCTTGTTTGGAATTTTCTATAAAGGAAAAAAAGAACACATCTGTTAGTCAAAGCACAACCAGCTACAATGGCCCCCTCTATCATCAGCCACACTCAGCAGCTCTGTTTCCTACATAGTCAGTCACATGTTTTTGTAAGCATATTCATTTTTCCCCTGGAGGCACAACCTCCTGTTTTCCATAATCAGCCTCTTCCAAGAATGGATGTAAACTTGCCAAAAGACTATAACTTAAGAAGAAAGGGACAAAATGGTAAGGACTAGCAAAATGAATCAATGAAGGGTGAGAGACGTTAGAATGATTATAAAATTACCTAGCATAAATACAATGGGTAGAAAAGCATAAGAGATTTTTGTTTCTCTCTTGTTGATTCTAAATCACCATGGAACTTCTCCTTATTAAATCCCAACATTTACCTAAGGCAGCTAGCCAGCAATGTTTATTTGCAAGGAGTTCTCTGCCAGGTTAGAAACCAGATTTGCATTCATTCCAGGGACAAATTGCAGTAGAGTCCCAGGATTGCCAAAGGCAACCTGTGCTAAAAAGGCACTGGCCTTTTAAGGTAGATCTTTAGCACTGGCTCAAAAATAGATAATGAAAAGGGGAAGATGAAGGGAGCAGCTCCTGAGAGACAATTGCTCTAGTTCTTGGTGGCTACCATCTCATACCCTGGGCTCAGTCTGACTTTGTCCATAAAACATTGGAATAATCTTCACACAGGGTATCAGGTGAAACAAAACAGCCAGCAACCCTGGGAGATTCTGGGTAGTGTTCATTTGTGGTACCATGGGTAAATAGAATGTGAATGTTTTCTTATTTATTACTCTGTATGTTATTAAAATGACCATCACTGCCTCATGCAAGACCCCAAAAATCTTTCAATAAAATGGTGTTCTGAAAAAAGCTTTGGTGAGAGATGGAGAGATGTTGTGGGTCAAGAGCTTGTTGAGTAAACATAAGGAACTGCATTTGGAACCCCAGCACCCTCAAAAGGGCAGGATACAACACTAGTAGGGTGCACATTCCTTGAGCTCACAGGTGTTCAGTCTAGCTGAATTGCACTGCTCCAGGTTCAGTGAGAGACCACATCTTTATATCTCTGTCTCTCTCACACATGTGCATAGAGATGACGAGGAAGGAGAGGAGGGGGAGGAAGAGCAGGAGAAGTAGGAGGAGCAGAAGGAGCAGGAGGAGCAGGAGCAGGAGGGATGCTTCTTCAGAATCCTGGAGCATACCAAGAGGGTGTTGGAATAGAAAGAAGCAGTGTTTATCACTTAGTTGGTCTAATTGTGCTGAGGGTAGGTGGGAAGGGTCAAATGTGTCCATTTCATATAATTGCTTGGCATTATATCAGGAACACTTGTTTCTATAATGACAAGTTCAAATCCTTAGAAGATGCTTGCCCCAATCAAAAGCCTCACATTCCTTACCACCCTTGGAAGGACATTGTGTAGATGTCTGGGAGGCCCTTCTTACCTTGCATGTGCTTAGTGGCCATTGTGATTTCCTCCTCAGAGTCAAGAAGAGGATGCCCATCCAGAGGTGTCCATGCCCTCTTGGTATGCCTAAGAATCTCTCTCTTGCTCTTTTCCAGACCTGCTTTGGGGCTGTCAGATCCCTGTAATTTCTCCATCATCATGAGGGTGATTCTGCAATATGACTGAAACCACACAGGCAGACAATCAATGACAATGAGTTCAGAGCTGAAGTTTGGCCCAGCCCAAGGGAGGATTCTTAGAAACAATGGAGTCATCCAGAGTCACTGTCTCACTGACACAGGCTTACCTACCCAAGCAGCAGAATTCCTGCTGATTTTGGCAGAAGAGTTTCCTCACTATGGACAGTCAGAGCAGGAGTTAACTTGGCTAGCCACAAGGGCACATCCACACTGATGGATTCAATGTTGTATTCTGAGATGTGGATAGAGAAGAAAGGATATAAAATGTTGACACCAACCTTACTTATGTCATACTAGTGTTTGAGCTTTGAGCACATATTAGGTGTTAAAATCTATGAAAGCAAAGTTCAGATTCAAACCTACCTTTCTGCCTAAGTTATTGCCATATGTTTCAATTAGCATTAGATCAGTTTTAGCTTCAGAGAAATGACTTTAGAGCCGGGTTCAGCAGTATTTCTAGCACACTAGTATTGGTGCATAATCCCTAATCACATGACTCATAAGCTGCCCTTTGCAATAGGAGTCTGATAAAGGCATACCTGCAGACTCACTGCAAATATCTGGTTATTATCTGTATGTAATTGTCAGTAACATTGTTCTTGTATGCTTTATATATTTAAATTGAACCACTCAGGTGAAGTATATTAACTAGTACAGTTGTAAATTTACTGCAAAAACAACTTATATGGGGAATCCATCCCAGTGGACTGCTCTGACTGGCCTATCCAGAGTCTGCTAGCATCCTGGTCCCACCTCCACTCATGAAAGGAGCCTGACTTCTAGTGCCCTGCTCAGAGCCTCCAGAGGACTGGGGGCTGCATACAGGGGAGCCCTTCATGGCTGACCAGCCAATCCAGAGTCTGCCTGAGTCCTCCTCCCACCTCCTCTCTTGGGATGGGTTAAGCTTGGGTCTGTTTCTGGCCCACTTTCAGGGGCCCTGGTCGGAGACTCCTGAGGCTTGGGGAATGAGCACACATGGGGAAACTCATCCCTGCAGACTGGCCCATCTAGAGTCTGCAAGCACCATAGTACCACCTCCCCCCACTGTAAGAGGAGAACAATTAGAGTATTGGACCTGCTTGTACCCATCAGAAAAGAACTTTGGTCCTGTACCCACCAGAAAAGGAAAACACCCCACTGGTACCCACTGGAAGAAGGGATGGGTAGACGACAGTATAAGAACACAGTCAACAACAGAAAGATCACTATAACTTCACCAGAGTCTAGGGACTACACACCAGCAAGATCTGAAATTCCCCACACAAATGAAGCAGAAGAGAATGACCCTAAAAAGAAATTCATGAAGATGATAGAGACCCTAAAAGAGGAAATGAGAAAATCCTTTAAAGAAATGGAAGAAAAGACAAACCAAAAATTGCAAGAAATAATTCAAACAATGCAAAGTTTGGAAGCTGAAATATAAACAATAGTAAAAAATGAAATAAACACAATCTGAGGGATTTCTGGAAATACAAAAATTGGATAAATGATCAGAAACTACAGATGTAAGCATAACCAACAGAATACAAGAGATGAAAGAGAAAAATCTTAGGCATTGAAGGTACTAGGAGAAATAGATTCATTGACCAAAGAAAATGTTAAGTCCAACAAATCCCTAACAAAAAATATTCAAGAAATATAGGACACCTTGAAAAGGTCAAACCTAAGAATAATAGATATAGAAGAAGGTGAAGAAACCCAACTTAAAGGTACAGAAAATATATTCAACAAAATCATAGAAGGCAACTTTCCAAACCTGAAGAAAGACATGCCAATGAAAGTACAAGATGCTAACAGATCACCTAATAGAGTGGACCACAAAAATGTTCCCTAGTCACATAATAATAAAAATACCAGACATACAGAATAAAGAAAGAATATTAAGGGAAGCAAAGGAAAAAGGCCAAGTAACATATAAAGGCAAACCTATCATAATCACATCTGACTTCTCCATGGAAACTCTGAAGGCAGGAAGGTCCTGGATAGATGTTCTACAAACACTAAGAGACCACAGATGCCAACCCAGACTGCTATACCCAGCAAAGCTTTCAACCATTTTAGATGGAGAAACCAAGATATTCCATGACGAAACCAGATTTAAACAATACATATCAACTAATCCAGACCTACATAAAGTTCTAAAAGGAAAACTCAACCCAAGGAAGTTAATTACACCCATAAAACATGGGCAATAGATAACCCCACTTTACCAACAGCCAACATAAAAATGGGAAATCCACACACAATACCTCCAACAACAACAAATCCAAGACACATAAGAATTAACAATTAATGGTCATTAATATCCCTCAATACTAACAGTCTTAACTCACCAACAAAAAGACACAAGCTAACAGAATGAATACAAAGATAGAATCCATCCTTCTCCTGCATACAAGAAACATACCTCAACTTCAAAGACAGACATTACTTCAGAGTTGAAGGTTGCAAAAAGATTTTCCAATCAAATGGACCCAAGAAACAAGTGGGTGTAACAATCCTAATATCTAACGAATTAGACTTTAAACTAAAATCAATCAAAAGAGATGAAAAAGGTCATTTTTTGTTCATCACAGGAGAAATCAAACAAGATGAAGTGTCAATTCTAAACATCTATGCACCAAATACAAAGGCACCAACATTCTTAAAAGAAACATTACTAAAATGCAAATTTCATGTAAAACCTAAAATACTTATAGTGAGAGATTTCAACACCCAACTCTCAACACTAGACAAGTTCATCAGACAGAAACTTAACAAAGAAACAAAGGAACTAACAAGTTATGACCTAATTGGGTTTAACAGACATCTATAGGACATTTAGTCCAAACACAAAAGAATATACCTTCTTCTCAGTGCCACATGGAACTTTCTCTAAAATTGATCACATACTTGGCAATATAGCACACCTCAATATGCACAAAAAAAGTTGGAATAACCCCCTGTATCTTATCATGCTTTAAAGTTAGAATTCAACAACAATACAAATTTCAGAAACCCTACAAACTCATGGAAATTGAACAATGCACAATTGCACTATTCCTGGGGGTCAAGGAAGAAATAAAGAAGGAAATTAACAACTTCCTAGAATTCATTGAGAATGAGGACACAATATACCCGAACTTGTGGGACACTTTGAAAGGAGTGCTAAGAGGAAAGTTCATAGCACTATGTACCCACATGAAGAAACTGGAGAATAGTCACACTACAGAATTAACAGCACACCTGCAAGCTCTAAAATAAAAAGAAGCAAACTCACCCAAGAGGAGTAGATGCCAGAAAATAACTGAATTGAGTGCTGAAATCAATTAGGCAGAAACTAGGAAAACAATACAAAGTAACAATGCAACAAAGAGTTGATTCTTTGAGAAAATCAACAAGATAGACAAACTTTTATCCCAACTAATCAAAAGACACAGAGAGAACATGCACATTTACAAAATTAGAAATGAAAGGGGGACATAACAATTGACACTGAGGAAATACAGAGAATGTTCAGGTCATACTTTGAAAAACTGTATGCCACAAAATTCAAAAAATTAAAGGAAGTGGACAATGTTATGGATAGATATCCCTTACCAAAGTAAGTCAAGAACGGATAAGCAATTTAAATAGACCTACAACCCTTAATGATATAGAAGCAGTCATCAAAAACTCTCTCAATCAAAGAAAATCCCAGGGCCAGATGATTTCATTGCAGAATTCTACCAGAAATTCAAAGAACAGCTAATTCCAATACTGCTCAAATAGAAGCAGAAGGGACATTGCAAAACTCTTTTTATGAAGTTACAATTACCTTGGTACCCAAGCCACATAGACCGATATCCCTCATGAACATTGATGCAAAAATAAATCATCCATCATGACTAAATAGGCTTCATCCCAGGGATGCAGGGATGGTTCAATATAAGAAAATCCACCAATGTAATCCACCATAAAAGACAAACTGAAAAAGAAAAACCACATGATCATCTCATTAGATGCTGAAAAAGCCTTTGACAAAATCCAACACACCTTTGTGATACAGGTATTAGAAAAATCAGGGATAACAAGAACATACCTAAACATAATGAAAGCAGTATACAGCAAATCAGCAGACAAAATCAAACTAAATGGAGTGAAACTCAATGCTATTCCTCTAAAAAAAGGAACAAGACAAGGCCGCCCACTCTCTCCATATCTCTTCAACATTGTACTTGAAGTAGTAGCTAGAGCAATAAGACAACAAAAGGAGATCAAGGGGATCCAAATTGGAAAGGAAGAAGCCAAACTTTCACTATTTGCAGATGATGTGATAGTTTACATAAGAGACCCAAAAAATTCACCATGGAACTCCTACAGCTGATAAACACCTCCATCAAAATGTCAGGATAAAAGATTAACTCAAGAAAAAAAAAAAAGTAGCCCTACTATACAGACAATAAAGGGGCTGAGAAAGAAATCAGAGAAACTTCAGTCTTTACAATAGCCACAAACAACATAAAGTATCTTGTGGTAATGCTACCCAAACACGTGAAAGACCTATATAATTAGAACTTTAAGTCTTTAAAGAGAGAAAGTTAAAAAAAAAATACTACAAAATGGAGAGATCTCCCATGCTCTTGCATACGTAGGATCAACATAGTAAAGATGGCAATGTTGCCAAAAGCGGCTACAGATTCATTGTAATCCCCATTCAAAATCCTAGCACAATTCATCACATACCTAGAAAGAATAATACTCAACTTTAACTTTATATGGAAAAACAAAAGACCCAAGATAGCCAAAATAACTTTGTACAAAACCCTGTACAATAAAGAAACTTCCAAAGGCATCACCGTCCCTGACATCAAGCTCTACTATAAAGCTATAGTGCTGAAAACAGCTTGGTATTGGCACAAAAATAGACAGGTAGACCAATGGAATTGAATTGAAAACCATATTAACCTACACACCTAAGAACACCTGGTTTTTGACAAAGCAAGATAAAATAATCCAA